ATGAAAATAGGAATTCACCATTAGAACGCCACAATTTTAACTACCTCAGGAAATATTCAGCAATGTATACTAAAGTTAAGCAAAAACATGGATTTGCACAGTTTTAAAGTACTTTCCTCTAAGTATTTATCAATTACAAAGAGAAAAATAGCAACAATGGAGAAACTTGGTAGGTATTATCTTTTTTTATATATTGGAAATCACACTCATGACCTTGAGCTTGCTAGAAGATATAATCTTAATCAGTGATCAAAATTAAGATCACTTTAAGCCTGGGGATGTAACTCAGTGGAAGAGTACTTACCTAGCAGGCACAAGGACATAATGAAGAGTAACATCACCATAACATTACTGAATTATGCACACTTAAAATGATTAACATGGTGAATTTAATTTTATATGATTTTACAATTAAAAAGGATTAATATTATGACATACTGACACCATGTACCTGCTGATATGATGCATTAAGGACACAACATCATTTCTTGCTATCCTTTGCAATAATGCATAACCTCAGTCTAATCACAAGAAAACAATCCCAAACTGAAAAACATTCTACTAATGACTGATTAGTACTTTCCAAAAGTCTCAAAATCAATCTGGGTGTCGTGATACATTCCTGTAATCCTAGCACTCTGGGAAGCTGCAGCAGAAGGATTGAAACGTCAAGCTCAGCCTGGGAAATTTAGAGAATTAGTGATCCTGTCTCAAAGAAAAAAATAAAATTTAAAAAAGTCTGACAGCATAGCTTAGCATGAAAGCTCTAGGTTTAATGTCCAGCACACAAAAAAAGAGAAAATGGCAGTAAGAGACTCTCAAAACCATGAAAGACAAGGAAAGATTAAGGAGCCCTCACAGGTGGTAGAGACTAAGGACACAGAACAACCAATGCAGCATGGGGTCCTGGGTTGAATAAACGAACATTAAAAAAAGACAATTGAAGAATAACTGGTGAAATCAGAATAGTTTGTAGGGTAATTAAAATTGTACAGAGTTAATTTCTTAACTTTGATGAGTATACCATGGTTGTTTAAGACATTAATATGAAGGGAAGGGAAGTTTGTACAAGAACTTTTCACAACTTTGTAAGTCTAAAATTGTAATTTAAAAAATTAAGAAGATCTGGGCATGGTGGCTCACGCCTGTAATCCTATCACTCCGAAGGCTGAGGCAGGAGGAGCGTTGAGAGTTTGAGACCAGCCTGGGCTACAAAATGAGCTCAAGGCCTGCCCGAACTGTATAGAGAGACCCTCTTTAATTTAAAAAATTAAAAAGAGCTTAAACTCACTTCTTTTTTCCCTGAGAATTGAATGTAGAGCCTTAGTACATGATAGGCAAATGCTCTTTAGGGGAATTACATTTCCATCCCTTTTAAAATTATTATTTGAGGAAGGTCTCACTAAGTTTCTCAGGCTGGTCTTCAATTTTCAGGCTTCCTGCCTTAGCCGCTCAAGTAGTTAGAACTACAGGTGTATACTGCTGCACCAACTAAGCTTAAATTCTTTAGAACTTATAGTAGAAATGTAGATCCATACACATTGATATATTAAAGAGCCAACTGAGGCAATTTTCCTAAACAATTAGTTTTAAAATTTCAGGTGTTTATCATGGCTTTCTTTTTGCACAAGGCACTCTTCAAGACATTGGGTTACAGTTTTGAATAAAGACAAATAGTTCTAATGTTATTTGATATTTAAAGAGAGGAAGTCCTCTGTTTATTTCCACTGCTTATCCTAATTTGCTAATGGAGACTTAAACTTAATCTCAGTTAGTGTGCAGGTTCTTTCCAAATAGAAATGGCACACACAATAATCAGTGTGAATTGACAGAGATATTGTCAGTTTTTAAAGATCAGATACAAGTAGAACTTCCATGGGAATTTGAAGTCTAGGCAAAAAATTAGATCATTCAGTAGTCCCCAAATCTGAAGTCAGTGACAAAATGTTCCTTGGTCTAAGGCAAAAATGGGAAAAATAATAGCAAAATACATTCTTAATAAAGTTACATTTTTTTAATTTAAAGAATTCATGAAATTATTTTCTCATCATTTTATGTTAAAATGCCATTTCCTTTATGAAATGATAGGCTTTATAGAAATAGAAATATAGATTATAAAAGTGTAAAATATAGATTATAAAAAAGTGAAATACAGAATATAGAAATTGAGTATGGAAAAGTGAAAAGTTGACGAACCTGTATTTCTCCTCCTGTGTGTATGGATGTGTCCAAAAAGTAAGAGAAAAATATGAATGTTTAAATTTTTTGTTAAATTTTTAAAAATACAGTAAACAGACACTGCCATTAATCCACCTTGAGATATTTCCTCTTGATTTGAACACATTTGTTCCATCATTCTTGCCGCTTTCTGAAGCAGTTCTAGAAGTCCTCTTGTGGGTATTCAGTGGTCCTGTCAAGCTGAATCTATTCAAAATATTAAAGTTTCACAGTCCTTTTAACTTAGAGGGAGAGCCAAAATTCACACTCTGAGGTAAATGAAGTGGATAAGGTCACGCCACAGTGTTTCTACGAGCCTGCCTTTCTCTTGTGAGGGCACTTGGTAGCAACATTCATTGCATTTTAAAATTTTATTAGCAAATAATGATTCATTCATCATGTATTTTTTTATCATACCTCATAACAAGACATAAAAGAAGACTTCAAGAACTTCTTAAGAATGCAGGGAGGGCTGGGCATGGTGGCATATGCCTGTAAACCCAGCACTTAGGAGGCTGATGCAGAACTGCCATTTGAGGTCAGCCTGGGCTACATAGCGAGTTGAAGGGTAGCCTGAACCACATAATGAGACCTTGTCTCAAAACAGTGGAGAGTGTCTTAGAAGCTATAGGAAGCATGAGGGGGACTAATGGTAAATCTGTATTTTATTGTAACTTTAAAAATTTAAACATCATATACATTGATTATATGTAATGCTGGTGCATGTGCATGTGTGTATGTACTTTACCATTGTTTGACAGTCTTAAAATCACTGCTATCCACCATTTCCTCTCCTTATTCCTGACATTAAGGAAAACTCTGTTATGTTTAGATATATAGTCAAATATAGCTAGTTTAGTAATTCTTAATCACATTTCATAAATTGCTGCTTTCCTATAAAATTAATCCTATGTTCTTGCTCCCTTCGAGCCCCTGATTTCAGTCTGCCTTAACCTGTTGTACCCAAATATCCTGGGACATTCTCATGCAAAAAAGACTTTCACTTCAAACAACCAAGACTGTAATGTGGTTTATGGAAAATATTTAATATTGAGGTAATATTTCATCATCATTTTTCATTTACTTCCTATATTCCAAAAACATTAAAGAAAATATAAAGGCAGCCATTGGTTGCACCAATCCTGCTCTAAGCATCTCCAATATTTAAAAATAACAGCACTAAATTTTAGTATATTCCTGGCCACCAAGTAAACAGCCATTACATATCAGTCTTAAGCCCAAGAATGAAACATATATCAATAAATACATTATGGTGTATTTTGAAAATCTGTACCTTGCCTTTACAAGACCAGGTACAAATATTTTGTCCTCTTATTTGAGACAGAAAGTGATGTATTACAGTGAGTATAGATTTATATGAATTTGCATTAATAAGGCACACATTTAAAGCAAACTTTACTTTTTAAACATAATTAATAGTATTAGCAACATCCCTAAAATAAGCTAAAGTTTTGATATTCATTTTCTCAATTGTAGTATAAGAGAACTCAGAATACTATATCACACATCCAAAAGAAGCTTACCTTGCTACCCTACTCCATTTAATTACGAATGATTTACTACAACTACCTCTTTTTTCCCTCAGTTTCCATGTCATCACTTTAGAATGCTCAGAGAGGAAAAAGGGCTTAAAATCAGATTAGGTACTTAACTGCAAGTGCATAGTTTTCTTTAAGGCCACTTAACTGGCATCATTTTTTTCTTTTAATATCTTATTTTACAGTTCTCTTAACTATAAAATAATTTAAATAAATGTTCTATAATATTTAATAGCACAAAATAAAGTATTTTATAGCATTTATTAACTACAGCAGCCCTATCTATCTATCTATCTATCTATTTATTTATTTTGGTACTGGAAATTGAACTCATGACCTTGTGCTTGCCAAGAAGGTGCTGTGCACTGAGCTATATCCTTGGAACCTAACTTATTTTTATCCTCACCAGTTCTTCATTCTTCATATTCAAATAATTTTTCTCTAAGAAGATGAGGATAAACATCTGGATATGAAAGAAATTTAAAACTTGGCTAAGACCATAAACAACCAATAAGAAATCTAGAGAACAATCCTGAACTGAATTTCTGCAGTTTTATATCTGCCCTTACTTGCATTTGCAAATATTTTCTTTTCCTTTTTACCTTTCCTTTCAGAACTATCTGTGACAACCACTCACTAGGTTCACTAGGCATGATTATGGATGACAACATGTAAGATGTTGATTCAGGATAATCACTTATCAGGGACAAAAATCTAGAAATTTCTGAATAAAAAACTACATATCTGTCTGCCAAACAGATTACTTCCTAATGTATCAAAACTGGAAGGAACTTCTCTTCCTTCTGTACACATAACTTTCTACTGAAAAAACAAAGGTAAAATAGCAGGCTATCTCCATGAGACTAAGTATTTCCTGGACTAGGACCAACAAATTTCAAGAGGAAACATAAATAATGACTCATTCATTACTCACTTAGTAGAAAGGAGATGGAAGTGCAAAAGTTCCTACTATAGGTAGAGGTATATATGTAGATAGATAATAATAATTTCAACATGAAAATATTACAGATATAAGATCTGGGGGTCAGGATAACTCTTTTGTACTAAGCAAACCAAGCCGCACTCTGAATTTCCCACTTCACCAAATTAGGCATTTCTCTGTCTTCATTAAAGCTGCAGTCTATTACTATTTTTGTTTCAATGAAGATGGGAGAACTTTGCATACAAGCATATTTTTCTCTCACCAAGAGCTGTTAGTAAAAGCTACATATAGTTATTAGATAACTGAGAATGGCCCTCTGACCCCCGAGATCTATTCCTATTAGAATCTGAAGGTAAAGAGGAGCCATCCTCTGTTTTTACCTCTCCAGTGACATGGGAGAAAGGGAAATTGGGCATAAAGCGTTTAAGAAATCGGAACTCACTGTTTCCAGTGCCAGTGGCTGAGCACATGTCATATGCACAAGGCTGTGATAAAGATCCATGGCCTCCACCTTGTACCAGATTATTAGGGAAATTACAGTCATCATAGAAATGTTCTTGAATTGTGAACTTTTCTCTCTGTTTAATCTTCTGGTAGATGTGCACAATGAAAATCATTGTGACAGAGAGTAGAAAAAGAAAGGAAAGCACAGCCAGAGAAATGACCAAATATTTGGTGGATGGATTTACCTTCTGAGAATGTCTGGATGGATCCCGGAACTGCAGGTAGGGCTCTGAAAAGCCATCTACCAGCAGGATGTTGAGTGAGGCAGTAGTGGAGAGAGCTGGTTGGCCATGATCCTGAACCAGAATGGTAAGTTTCTGCATCACAGGATCTCTTTCAGTTATCTGCCTCACTGTATGGATTTCCCCATTTTGTCGCTGAACAGAAAATAACCCAAGGTCAGTAGCCTTAAATAGATGGTATGACAGCCAAGAATTCTGACCTGAGTCACCATCAACAGCCACCACTTTGGTCACTAGATAGCCTGCCTCAGCAGACCTGGGCACCAGGTCATTACAGGGCAAAGTACCATTCTGCAGTGGATACAGAATCATTGGACGATTGTCATTTTCATCCAGTACAACCACTCTGACAGTAACTTGGCTACTCAGTGACAGAAATCCCCCATCAGTTGCCTTTACTACAAACTGAAAATTTTGAATCGCCTCGTAATCCAAGGTTCTCAGTGCATAGAGCTTCCCATTGTCTGAATTTATGGAGATGTAAGCAAAGACTGATAGATCTCCACTTTTGGGAGGCAGCAGGGAATATGTTACTTGGGCATTCTCACCCAAATCTGAATCATCAGCATGGACTTTACCAATAAAAATTGCAGGGCTGTTGTTTTCTCGAACAGTTAAGATGTAGGAATCTTCCTGAAACACTGGAGGATTGTCATTAATGTCAGATATTAGCACTTCTATCACAGTTTCTGTGGACAGACTGGGTGGTCCAGTATCCATGGCAACAAGGGTGATATTGTAGCCTGAGACATCTTCCCGATCCAAGCTTCTATCAGTGACCAGAGAGTAAGAATTTCGTAATGTAGGTTTGACTATAAAAGGAAAGTCTTCTTCTTTGAGGAAGCAGGTGATTTTTCCTCCCACTCGAATGTCCCGGTCTCGGATCGTGAAGAGAGCCACTACAGTTTGTGGTAGTGAGTCCTCAGGGAGAGGGCTGGACACAGAAGAAATCATCACTTCAGGGGGATTGTCATTTACATCGATGACATCCACCAAGACTTTGCTGTGTGCAGAGAGCCCTCCTCCATCTGTAGCTTGAACATCAATGTCATACGTTTCTATAGCTTCAAAATCTAGGGGCCCTCGGAGTCGAACCTCTCCAGTTTGAGAGTCAATCTGAAACGTCTGGAGAATTGTTTCTGGGTTTTGAGCTAAAGAGTAAGTTATCTCCTTGTTGGAGCCCTCATCTAGGTCCTTGGCAGTCACCATGACCACGAAAGAACCGTTGGCACTGTTCTCTGGTACCTGAGCGCGGTACACCAGTCGCGAGAACTGGGGCACGTGGTCGTTGACGTCCAGAACCAACACGCGGATATGGGCGTTGCCAGATTTGGGCGGGGATCCGCCATCTACCGCTGTAATTGTCAAGTTGATTTCAGGCTGCTCCTCTCTATCCAGCGGTTTATCCAGCACTAGCTCAGCATACTTGGGCCCGTGGCTGCGGAAGCGAGTGTGCAGGTGGAAATAAGGGTTGGGGCTCAAGGTGTAGTTCTGGAGACCATTGAGGCCCACGTCCAGATCCTGGGCGCTCTGCAGAGGAAAACGTGAACCCAAGGGGGTGCTTTCTGGAATCTTTAACAGAGGCTCCTTGTTTAGAAAAATGGGTGCGTTGTCATTGATATCAAACACCCTGACCTCTGCACGGAAAGACTGCAGAGGCTCCACTAGGACAATTTCAAAGTGCAAAACGCACGGGTCGGCTTTGCCACAAAGAGACTCCCGATCCAGTTTCTCCTTCACGAACAAATCTCCCGTCTTGCCGTGGAGCCGAAAGTGCAGCTTGTTGCCCTGGGGGACCAGTCGCGCCCCGCGCGCAGACAGTTTCCCTACCTCCAGTCCTAAATCCTTAGCCACATTGGCCACAAAAGATCCGCTTTCCATCTCCTCCGCCACCGAATAGCGGATGGTTGCTGTACTCCCCACAGATACGCACATAAAAATGAGAAGAGACCCCACTCGCCTGCTTTGCAAAGTTCTCCTGTGTGCACCCGCCATCGGTCCTCTCAAAGGCAACCCCCGGGCGCTGCCACCTGCCGCGATATGCTTTCAGTTTTCTGCCGCAGGCTCCCGCTGCTGGGGCGCTCAGATTTCCCGGCGTCTAACCGCAGCGCCACCAAAACTAGCCAAGCCGGTAAGCTGTTTTGCACCTGGAAGAAAATTTGCATTGAGCTCAACTCCCCAGCCTATCGAATGTATTAATAGATATGTTCTCATTCCGGAGGGCTGGACAGAGGTTACAAGTTTGTTGTCAAAGCAACCCCACTCTCGCCTGTTAATTCCCTTTCAGGAAGGACAAAGTCCTGGGGAATTGAGAAGCCAATGAGGAGACTGCCTCGAGATGAAGTCACTGTATCTCTGGAGCCCGCTGGGCCACCGAAGAAAAGGGCAAACAGCTCTCAGTTTGAGCTACAGCTGCACACTCCACCGTCTGCCCTCGGACCAAAGAAATGGCAAAAGATCCTGCCATATCTTCTGAGGGTCCAAAAGAGGAAAATGGGAAGGAAGGGATGTGGGGAGAGGGCAGAGAAGTGTGTCGAAAAAGGTCAGTAGGAAACAAAAAGGTAGCGGGCAAATGTCCTTGAAGAACCCGAGGTCCAATAGGTAAACTAATAAGGGATTAGATCAACTCGCCTCTTTCTTTGCACAAATCCATTCCCTGCCCCAGAACCCTCAAACGCTTAGGGAACTGCTGGCTGCTTGTCACACGGTTACCATAGCAGTAATATTTACTGCTATGATTTCTATGTACTGGCACGATGTCAAGTGATTTCCATGCATTACCTAGTTTAATCCTTGCAACAATCCTGTAAGGAAGACATTATTTCTTTTAAAAGATAAAGAAACTGAGACAGGAGAGATTTCACGCCCAAAGTTCCCCTCCGTGGTAAATATTAAAGATAAAATTCAATTTATTCTTTCCAACTCCAAATCTATGCTCTTAATATTTTATTCTGCTTACCTAGTATCGTGGGTAAATTAAATGGGAATAAATATAATTTGACCTTGGGTTTTAATACAGAAAGATAACATTCTCCCTTCTCCCTTCTTTTTAAAAACAGATGAAGAAACTAAAGTGCCCAAATGATAAAGTCACTTCTGACTAACCAGAACTTCTTTTGACACTCTGTCCCATGTTCATGGTAAAAAGCATTTGATTTTCTAATACACAGGGCATTTTAAGCCCACAGATGCTATACAAAAAAGTTATTACCACTTAAAAAGTGGCTAGACCATGTTTTCCACGAGAGAATAAAGTGAACGAAGGCAGGACGTATGTAAAATATTAACAATATGCTGACATAAAGGAGTTAATAGACCAGTCTTTTTGAGGAAAAGGCAATATCTCCAATCCTCAGGTATTTTTATTGGTACACGTGGTAATACATGGTATTTACATTGTCTTAGTGAATTGATATATATAGATATTATATCTTGATCATTTTTTATCTTCTTTCCCACACCCTCCCATTCCCTTTTCCCTGACCCCTTTTCTCACCTCCAAAAAGTCTATTATTCTTTAATTTATTTATATTTTATATTTCTCATATAAAACATGCAATGTTTAAATTTCTATATTTGACCTATTTCACTTAACTGTGGCCTTAAGATCCATCTATTTTCCTGCAAATGTCATGAATTCATTGTTCTATATAGCTAAATAAAACTCTACTGTGGATGTATATGATCCCTCAAACTTTTTTAGGTGTCTTAATATGTAGAGTAAGAATGCATCCCTCAGTTGTTTAGTTTGCCTCTTCTTAAAACTATCAAATGTACAGTATATAAAATACATCTAGTTTGTTTCCTGCAGTGTGTTTAAGTACAAATTTGTGTTCTCTAAAATCAAAGAATGAATTTTGGGAACAGCAGAGGTTAAGGGCAGAATATATTTATTGAGAGAAAGAAAGCTTCTATCAGAGAGATACAAAGGGGTCCTGAGTGGGTTGCCAAAGACTGTCTTTTCTAGGGACTTTTATAGAGTAAAATCGTAAGGTGAGGTGGGTCCACGGTGGGGAAAAATAGGAACTCACAATGTAGGTGGATATGAGGTAGAACAGAACTATGGTCAGCCAATAAGATTACAAGCATAATTGCTCAGGTAAATTAATTAAATCAGGATTAAATGGGGAAGCAAGTCATGTAGCAAGCTGGCATGAATACAGAAAGCGGGTGTTTGCCTGTAGGGGTTGGTTTAGTGGTTCCTTCTGGCTTCCTCACAGTGCTGGATACCTATTTAGAATATCAATCCCTGACGTTTATCCTTAGGGTGTGGCTGCATTTGTTTTGTCTTTTGTCTTGAGATCTGGCTCACAGTGGGAGCTGTTTGTTTTCCTGCATAATTGCAAGATATCTGACCTTCTACAATGGCTCCTTCAAGGGCCTAGCCCTGTCCTACTGCCTATATATTCCATCTAATTCAGCTGCCTATAACACAATCACCTTCCAATCACCTAACCCAAAAGCCCCAACCCTGAGCTTGTGAGACTTTTAGGAGACATTCTAGGCCTAAAGTATAACAAGATACAGTTCTTTTTAACTTTAAATGAATTTGTCAAACTGTTTCTAAGTGGTTGCACCAATTTATCCTGTCATCAGCAAACTTCTAGTTCCTCAAACTCTTTCCAGCACATCATGTCTTAGTCTGTTTTCTGTTGCTAAGAACACAATACCACAAACAGAATAATTTGTAAAGCAAAGAACTTTAGATTGGTTCTTAATTCCAGTCCAAATTCGAAGAGCCACATCTGGTGACAGCTTCTTGCTGGCAAATTCCCAGGTAACACAGGATATCACAGAGCAAGAAATACAAGAAATACGTTCTCTGCTGGCACAAAAACAGAAATATGGGACAATTGAACAGAATAAAAGAAGCAGAAACAATCTGAGGTACATATAGCTATTTGATCTATGACAAAGAGGCCAAAGCATACACTGGAGAAAAAATATCCTCATTAATAAATAGTGCTGGAAAAATTGGATAGCCACACCCAAAGGTATATATCTCTTCTTTTATTTTAAAGAGACTAAGACAAAAGAGAACAGAACAAAGCAGATCAGAACAGAACAATGTGAGCAGCATAATACTTCACTGCAAGACAATCGGATATTAACAGTAGCTATCATAATGTCTCTTTCTTTGAAATAGTTGAGATTAGCTTCACATACAATAGTATCAAACATAACAAAACAGTATAAAACCATTCAAGAGAATGAAAGTATTACAGGGCATTCAGAACCAAATAACAGAAAACGAACAATGGCTACTGTATTATCTCATTTTCTATAAAAAATTTGTTTATACTATCACACATAATAAAATCCAATAAGACGCAACATGATAGGACCAATGGAAACAGATGAGCAAAAGCATGGTAGCACTTCAAAGCAAGATGATATTAAATCAGCAATGGCTATTATAGTGTCTTGTTTTCTTCAAAATGGCTGTTCATACCACCACAGATAATAAAATCGAACAAAACAGAATAAAGCCTTTCCAACTAATGAATGAAAACATTATAAGGCTTCAAAACAATGTAATGGGGAATCATGAATACCATAAAATCTTATGTACTTTTTCTATTTCTTACACTAGGGAGACCATACAGTATTTATACATGTGAGTTTGATTTATTTTCACTTTATGAGTATGGTCTCAAGATGTGTCCATTTATTTATAAAATCTTAATGTAATCATTCTTTATACATAAGTAGTACCCCATTGTATAAAAATACCTCATCTTTTTTATCCATTCATCAGTTGATGAACACTTAGGTTGTTTCCAAGATCTGGCTATTACAAATTGTGCTGCTGTAAACATGGGTGCACATATATCACTGTGGTGTGATGTTTTCAGTTCTTCAGGGAATATGCCTAGAAATAGAATAACTGGGTCAAATGGGACTCCCAATCCCAGCTCTTTGAGGAATCTCTAGACTGACCTCCACAGTGGTTGTACTAGTCTACACTCCCACCAACAGTGCAGAAGAGTTCCTTTTTCCCTACAGCCTCTGCAGCATTTGTTGGTAGTTTTCTTGATCCTGGCCATTCTTTCTGGAGTGAGATGGAAACTCAGTGTGGTTTTAATTTGCATTTCTCGAATGACTAATGATGATGAACATTTTTTTCATGTATTTATTTGCCATTTGTATTTCTTCATCTGAGAACTGTGTATTCATCTCAGATGCCCATTTTTGGATTGGGTCTTTGAATTTTGGGGGTCTGAGTTTTTAATTCTTCATATGTTTTAGACAGAAGTCCTTTGTCTGAGGGACAGTTCACTAAGATTTTTTCTCAGTTCATGGATTTTCTTTTCACTATGCTGGAAATTTCTTTTGACATGCAGAAACTTTTTAATAAGAGATGATCCCAGTTATTGATTCTAGGAAGTATTTCCTGTGTGGTTTGATTCCTGTTCATGAATTCTTTACCTACCCCTATGTCTTCAAGATTTTTACCCAATTTGTCTTTCAACAGATTTAGTGTTTTTGTTTTAATATTCAGATCTTTGATCCATTTAGATTTTAGTTTAGTGTATGGTGATAGGCAAGGGTCTAGTTTCAGTTTTCAGCATATAGAGAGCCAGTTTTTCCAGCACCATTTATTAAAGAGACTGTCGTTCTTCCAGTGAACATGTTTGGCCCCTTTATCAAAGATAAGGTGGTTGAGTGTGTTTGTAGCTTTGGCTGTATCTTCTAATCTATTCCATTGATCTTCAGATCTGTTTTTATTCCAGTACTATATTGATATACAGTAGCTTTGTAGTATAACTTCAAGTCAGGGATTGTGATGCCTCCTGCCTTGCCTTTGCTGCTTAAAATTGCCTTTGCTGTTCTAGATTCCAGATGAATTTTAGGTGTGATTTTTCTAGATCTATGAGCTATGTTGATGGTATTTTCATTGGGATTGCATTGAATCTGTATAACAGTTTTGGGAGAATGGCCATTTTCACAATATTTATTCTTCCTATCCATGAACAAAGGATGTCTTTCCATTT